AGAAGTTCGGGAATGGAGGAGGATGATACCGATGATGACGAGGACGATGATGATGATGATGACTGTCAAGTGATGGAGTTTATCACCGCTTATGAGTCTGGAATTCCAGCTAACCAGCGAATCTCTTCTGGTGGTAGTTCCTCGGGTTCTTTAGGCGGTTCTTCCCGAACGGGAGGGTACTTGGCTTCGGGAAGTGACGGCAGGCCAGGCAGTTCGACCGATGGTCGGCGCTTATCGTGTAAACGGAAAGCACTCGAAGGACATGCGGGACCATCTTCTGGAAGTGGAAGTTCGAGTTATTTTCAGCATCCCGAGAGCAGTGTTTGGAATACTACAGCAGCTACTCAACACAACATATCGAGCAGTTCTAATATTCCTTCCCCCGCACCGAATAATAGTGGCGTTAATTTTTCCGAGCAGATAAACCCGAGACTCGGACTGAGCATTGGAGATGCTGCTGCTTCTGAAAGCCCCGTTGGTTTAACCGCTCCCCGGAATGCAGAAAGTTCACGTAGAAATTTCCGTTTGAGGATTAACGCCTCACACCAACACCAACAAGGTTCTGTACCTCGTAATTTGTTTTCAGCCGAGACTGAACCTGGAAACGTTTCTGTTTCGTCATATAGGAATTCATCGAGGCTACATTGCAACAATTCTATAGAATTTAGACCCACCGCTATTGCCGAGAGTACAAATCCTCAAGGACCGCCTATAGTAGTGCACGTCCCGTCTCTGCGTCGGCATTCACAGACTAGGTGGAATGCAGCGGCGTCTAGCTCAAGAAGCGGGAATCCCGCAAATTATGCCCTTTCTATGGATAGAGATTCACCGCATTTCGATGAATCAACTTCTTCTAGGGCTTTTCCAAGAAATATATCGCAACATCCTATGTTTACACCCGCTGATATCGGAAACTCTAGTCAAAATCCCACTAACTGGGGTTTAGCCAATGGAAATAATTGTGTAGCTGGAAACTTGGCGTCCACTTCCAGGAGCGGTTCTACTTCTGGGGCCCACTCATCGTCTCCTTCTTTGGCACCTAACCGTGCTCTTCCTCAATATCCTAGGCGGCTATCGGAATTTGTACGTAGATCTTTGCTGACTTCAGCTGGCGGTGATTCTGGCGGTCAGGTTAACAATGGCCCTCAGCTGCGTGCTAGTTCTTCCGCTGCCGCTCCGGAAATGGCTCTTCCCGGTAATCATGTCCACCGCCCTTCTAGTTCAAGGTCGGCAATGCTGTTGGAGAGACATCTTGATTCTTCTTTCGCGATTCCTTATTCCTGGAGGACTTTGGCTGCTGCCGGGGAGGGAAGAAGTAGGCTAGTCTCCGAGGTATGTATTATATTTTTATAGTTATTGTTATTAGCTTGCTACAAGTAATAGTATTTGTTATAAATTAAGATTGGGCTAGGTTTACGCAACTGGGCTATAATGCACATGGGCCAAACCACACTAAAAGATTGAATTCAACCAATTAGCTAGTCTAATCCATGAACTTATAAACCCATATGCTCTTACTTATTTTATCAATGTGGGACACTCTTAACAGTATTTTTCCTCGATTATCCACATCTATCATATCTCTTCGTATGTTTGATGGAAATGATTAGTCGTTACTAATGTAGTCAATTTTTCCATTGAACAGATCCACAATGTTTTAGATCTTATGCGCCGTGGAGAGGGCTTGCGGATTGAGGTTAGTCTTATCATTACTCGAAGATAATGTTATCCTGTATATCTTGGAATTTCTTTATGGTGCATGACTCCTTGGAGACTTCCATCTATATTCTTCCAATTTGCGGCTTTTAGTCATAGGTAGTATAAGGACTTTGGGAGTTCATATCGTTATGAATTTCTTCGGTACCCTATACCCATACCCTATCTACCTTACTGATGTATAGTCCATACCAGCTTGGTTATATCGTAGTCCGGGACAACTTTAAAGTAGCCAAAAACCTGGATTTTATCCTGTGTTGTAATCCAATAGTTATTTGTGTTTGTCCAGGATGTTATGATTCTTGATCAGTCTGTCCTTTTTGGGATGCCCGACGCTCATGATCGGCACAGGGACATGCGGCTCGATGTTGATAACATGTCATATGAGGTGAGCGGGCAGAGCAAACCGTCAAATTTTTATACTCGAGTTTCCGATTTCATTTTTTGCATTGGCTGACATTCTTGGAACTTGCTCTCTGCAGGAGTTGCTAGCGCTGGAAGAACGTATTGGAAATGTATGTACTGGTTTGAGTGAAGAAGCCATTTCGAGTCGTTTGAAACAACATAAATTTGCGCTCATAAAAGCAGAAAATCCCGAAGAAAGAGAACCATGCTGCGTGTGTCAGGTACTGATCCGTGTTCTCTCTTTTTTATCTCGACATATCCATCGTTTCCCCCTAACACACACACACACACACACACACACGTGTCTATCGACTCTCTTGCGAAAATTTATATATATACACACATGTACTTCAGGAAGAATATAATGATGGAGAAGATCTCGGGACATTGGACTGTGGCCATGATTTTCATGCCGACTGCATTAAACAATGGCTTAAGCACAAGAATTTGTGCCCGGTTTGTAAAACAACAGGACTGGCTACCTGAGCGGGGGACGCTCAAACTACAAGCCTGTCTATACTTCATTCTTTGATTCAAACGAATCAGTCTCGCCCTGCTGGATAAATTCTCTCCACAGAAGATGACACCAGTTAACCGGGTTTCATTGTTTCGGTTGGAGTAATTTGATGGAAGAACAAAAAAGCCTCTTATGTATTTTCTTTCAACTTCATTGTGGTCTCTCCTTGTCTAGAAAAAAACAGAAAGTGATCCAAAAATGGCAGATCACTTTTAGGTGTTAGCCATTCATTTAGTTATGACCCCCCATCCCAAAAAAAAAAAAAAAGTTACTAGTTACCTTAAAAATTCACATTCTTTTTCTCCCCTTTAAGGATTCAGATTTCTTGTTTTCATTGAATATTTATGGGTTTATTTGATCTCTGGTTTCTGATTTTCTTATCTGGTTTCTCTGATTCTTGCATTTGTCTATGGCGTATATCATAACATGCATCTCTCTGGTGCATAGTATAGCTTTATTCTTTACGGTTCGAGCCGGTTAGTTATCGGTAAAAGTTGGTCAGTTATGAATAATTTTAATTGGTTTATCTTTTTGTGGTTCTTTATTGGTTAAGGTCACAAATTTGCGATGTGAGTTTTGTTTCGAGCACATCTTTGTATAGGGATTGCGAAATTTTCTGTAACTAGACATATTATGTATAGTTATATTTAGTAGTTTGAGATGTGATACACTTTTGATGTGATTAGACATACACATAATTAGACATTATGTATAGTTATATTTGGCATACGCATAATTAGACATATTATGTATAGTTATATTTAGTAGTTTGAAATGTGATACACTTTTGATGTAAGTAGACATATTGACATATCGTGTATGATTGTGTGGTTGCATTGAATTATTTTAAAATTTCTACACTCTTTTGATGACATCAAAGAATTTTATGTGTCTTACTTTCAAAAGTGGACTCTACTTTCACATTATTGAAATTGTAATTTCTTCACTATTTTCCTTATATTTTTGCTATACTCTCTCACGTTAAAAAACTGTCTCACTTTCAATAAAATAAATAAATAAAAGTATATATGTTGTGGTAAATAGTCTCGGGTTATACAGAAACGAGTAGAAATTATAATATTGTAGTTCGGGTAGTTTAAGACTGAGGGTCGGAGGGTCCCGAGCCTATAAGTGTTCTTAGAGGGAGAATGCTTCCAAAGTCCCCTTCTGCAGTGCAATATATGCTCTATTTATAAGGGAACAGATGAGAACACATGTCGACTGTCCGGCATGCTCGTCACGTGTTTTACATGCCCTGGGAAGGTCGGCGGCATTACAAATTGATACACGTAGACCTCGATTCTTGACATGTCCATCTTCTAGAATAGGAAGTGCTCCTGGTTGGAATACCCGATCCGAGACAAGAGGTCGGGACTGAATCAACATTCCATAACGAATATAATACTCGTTGAGTCAGGTTGAATCCGATCGGGAATTGTTCCTCGCACCCTCCAGGAGTACATACCGATCACATACCCGATAGGTTATCCAAAATATATATCTTATCATAAATACTTCGTATTTTGATAGTTTTTCTGTACTTTGTAAACTTTCTGAAAAAAGAAAGCTTGCTAGGTGAGTAACAAAAATACATAAAAAATTTATTTTATACAAAATCATATTATATCATTTTACCATGGGTAAAATTTATGCGATGAGAACAACTTTAGTGTCTCAAAAATTATGAAAAGAAATTGAATTAATTTGAATGCTCTTAAAATTTGAAATTAGATATGTGGAGAATTGCGTTATTATTAGTTGATTGTTGAAAGTTTGGAAGTCTACTAAAAGCTATGGCGCGGCAGGGAATAGGGGAGTAGGGAGCATCTTCCACACGCAACTTGCAATCCTCAACCAAACCTCGGGAATATCAAATTTGTTTATTAATCTGTTTTGTGGATAAGACTTTTGTATTTTCTCTTTCATCTTTATAAACCTTCCCAACAATTTACACATAGCCATCCCAACTTTTTATTTTCTTCAACTTCTCCCCCATAATGTCCCTATTTTGTTTCATTGTGACTTTGCCTTGTTAATGACCAATCAAAACAGAAAGGAGAACTATCAAATAGACAACTAAATTTATTATGTGTAATTAGGTTATTGTAGTTAAAAGCATGCAACTGAAACATTAAACAAGCAAAAAAAAAAAAACTTTAAGCAGTATGAATTTAAATTATTCTTAAAAAAAAAAAGAAGAAGAAAAAGGGTCAATTAAAGGGGTTTGGGAGATATTTAAGAAAGTTTTGTGGCTTATATTAAATTAACCGAAAACTTGAGGGTCGATTGTAATTAATTCCGACAGAAACCAAATTACAATTAAGGCGGGAGATTACACTTCTAAACGGTTCTTAAAAGAGAGGGAAAAGAAAATGGAAGCAAAAAGGCTATCATCTCCACGAAGCAAAAGAACAATTAAAATTTGAGTATTTTCCTTTGTAATATAAATATATAATTTCCTTTTCCGATGATTATCATCAATGGCGGATCCATACGGAACAGGCCATCACTCTCTCGAACCGGAGGATATGTCTTCGTTTCTCCAAAATCTTCTCCACGGCGCATCCACTTCAGCTGATGGAGACGACGGCGGGGTGCTGTTCCCTCGCCCGGCGATGGAGGCTACGGATTTCATGGGTCGGATGAGAGACGGAGCTTCTGCTCCTGCGATCGAGCCATCTCCGAGCCTGAATTTCTCCGATCCTTCTTTATTTTACGGAGCGCAAGTGAAAGAAAGTGCAGTCAATGCGTTCTCCTCGGCCGCAATTGGGGATTTTGATGCAACTGGCTCTTCCAAGCGGATTGAGTTCGAAAATGATAACAAGGTAAAATTATTTAGACTTAATTGACGAAGATTAAAATAAAAAAAAAATCATCAGTTAATTGGAAACAATTCTGATGAATTTGACCAATACATTTTGTTTAAATTGCTTCGCTTATATGTGCAAAATTGTTATTATATGATGTTATTGGTTTTTCATACACTTAATCCTAAGAAGAACTTGGGCTTCTGTCCGGCCCTGATTATATAACATCTAAGATTTGCCTGCACTTGCTAGAAGCCTAGAATGCTTAGTGGAAATATTAGTAGTTTCAATTAGTGGATGATTAATGAGTAAGGCTTTAGCAGGGTTGTGAAACTTCAGATGCACTGAGTAATCTGGCTCAGCCGCGGCCCTCGAAGAGGAGCAGATCAGCAGAGGTTCATAATTTGTCTGAAAAGGTTTGTTTTAGCTTAAGTTTCTAATGTTTTTTTTGTTTTGCATTTTTGAAAGATGTGAATTCTGGATTACATGTGATTAACTGCTTTGCACAGAGGAGAAGGAGCCGGATCAATGAGAAACTTAAAGCGTTACAGACCTTGATTCCAAATTCTAACAAAGTACGATTCGGGCTCACTTTATTTTTCAGAGCATTTTCCCATTTCAAAATGTTGCTTTCTTATTAGTCTTGAATGTGTTTGTTCTGTACGATAGACAGACAAGGCATCAATGCTGGATGAAGCCATTGAATATTTGAAACAGCTTCAACTGCAAGTGCAGGTATTGCTTCTGCTACTTTTGTTGTGTGATTCATTATGATTCATTGTCAGTGTGATGTACAAACAATTTGGATCCACAAGTAAATGAGTACAATGAATTTATTGAGGCCTTTGGGTTTATTGAGTGAGATGAGAAAAATAAATGCAATATTTGAAATAATATGAAATGACACGGTTCTGGTCTCAATTTCATTGTTATTACACAAATAATGTTTGCTTAATACTTATTAGGCATTTAGCATTCATTTTCCACCTGGGTGGATGGAGACTTGTGTGCAGGATCTACTATTTCTCTCGAGTAAATTGTCTAAATGTGGATAGTTTTGATTGAAAATATTGTTTCTTACCTTTTCTGTAATACACTTTGATAAATATGAAGGCTGTATTATAGTATACTAGGTTTGCAGAAGATATAGATGGAGTTCTCACATTATTGTATAGAGATTTTCTGCTCTGCTTTGTTCATTGGTTGCACTTGTTTATTGGAACTGGTTATTACTTAAGCTACAATGATAGTAAAAGATGTGCTAGCTTATATTCATGTATCCTTGGGTAATTGATTATATGATGGTGGATAAATGAATTGTTTGTGAGTAGAATTTGAACCTTTTACACACATATCTTAAATTAACAAATACTGGCACCAAGTTGTTCTCCCATATGGGAGGTTGTGGTTCGAGCTTCAGTAGAGGCGATATTGACTTTTTGTGCTTCAGTAGGTTGAGAAAGTAGTTATGAACAGATACTGTATTGTAACAGAGTCAGTAGTACTTAAAAAACAGCGTGAGAAGTACATGGATTGCTTGCTCTATTAGAGGCAGAACTGATTGTCTCATAGAACACTATTTGCAGCACATAGGCCATGTTTGTTTATCAGCTTATCCGCCATCTTTTAGCAGATTTGACCATCTTTAGCGGTTTGACTTTGTCAAACCGATAAAGAAGACGTTTGGTTAATGGCTTTTTCACTTAGCGAATTGCTGTCCAATCCGCTACAATTGACATGTTACTAGGAGCAGCGTTTAACATTAGCTTTTCTCCATTTATTTTCTAAATCTCAATTTTGCCCTTGTTTCTCTCTTTTTTTTTTTTCATATACGATGACTTGCTGTATGCCTCATTCCATATATCTAAAATGCAACTTTGCATTCCTATAATTAAATTTAATAGCTATTTTCCCCCTTTATTTTTTGAAAGCTAGCTATTTTTCCCCCTTTATTTAATTCTTAATTAAATTTAATATCATACAGTTACATTTTTTTTTTAATTTGGTGGCATACACTCACACTTATTTTATTCAATTTCAAATGTATTGCTCATTTGAATTAATAATTTTTATATAGTAAATGTATTGCTCATTTGAATTAATAATCTTTATATAGTTATAATTATTATAATATTATTACCAATAATAATAAAAAAAATTAACTAATGTCCTTATGGGTCATTTTACATGTTAACCGCTATTCTAAACAGCTAATTTTACCAAACGTCTTTTTTACAAACCGCTGATACAATCTGCTGGTCAAACTCACTAATCTAATCCGCTATTTGTTAACCGCTAACACAATCCGCTAACGCTAATCGCTAACCGCTGATTGTCAAACAAGGCCATATTTTCAGTTGCTGAAATCTGTCCTTTCATCTCTTCTCTGTAATTCAAGTCAAATGTTTTCAGCCCTTTGCCAAGATGGAGAAAGGAATTAAACCTTTTTGCACTGCTATGCTTTGTGTCATCTCAATCTGATTCCAAGCAGACAAAATAATCATATTATCATTACTATGAATCTGATCATATATGGCAAAACCATTTAGTGGGGTTTTAGTGCTTATTACATAAAAAAAATACTAGTAATTGGAACATCTATAATATTATCTTTGAATTGCAGATGCTGACCATGCGGAATGGATTGAACTTGTACCCGGGTTATTTCCAGGGATCCTTACAATCAGTCCAACTGCCTTCATCTGGGGGTGAATTTGACAAAGGAAATGCAATGCTGAACACAAGAGGATCAGCAGCTACTTTTTCTGGAAACCAAGAAATCTTAGCTCAGACCAGCAGCTTTCAGATTTCTAATCAAAATTCCACAGCCCATCAAACTATGGAAAATAACACTGCTAATTCAGAGAACCCAATAGCTCTGGGAACATCAATTCAAAACCATTATGGACTTCTTAACCAGTTGGCATCTACTAAGGTAAAAACTAGTTGCAGATGTTACTCAACCGTCGTGTATGGAGACCAACTCTTATGTTTCATCTACACTGCAGGATCTGTGCAGGGACGATGCACTATCAAGATTGCATTTAGAGACGAGTTGCTCTGGGAACAATTCATCACCGGGCATCTCTTCTTAGTCAGCAAAGAAATACAGGTTGAATTTATTGGCGAAAATATTGAACATCTCTATTGTTTGTATGTATAATGACTTCCCACCAGCTCAAAGGATGCTGAGATATACTGAACCTATTTAGTCTAGACATGCCAAAACAAGCATCAACATGACTCCTGGAACTGGTGAACCTATGATGTTCCATAGTAATTGACAACCTTTATTTACTCCCAAGTTGTTTTGGTGCCATTCTTAGGCAAAAACCATGGTCTACTATTATTGGTGATACCATGCCATGATGCCATTTCTTTGCAAAATGAAAGAGTACTGATATTACAGTATGAAATGGTGGTTTTACAGCGTCGGTTTCTATCTTTCTGATGATATTTTGCAGTGTCGGCAGTGTCCTTTTGGTCCATCTTCCATCCCCATACGGCCTCCCAACTCCTCGACAGGGATCCAGGAAATGCCAATCCGGGGTACAAAAAACTTCTCATAATCCCATCACCGTCAAAATGGTTAACACAATAAGTTATCTTATGACATAATTTGCTATTAATTATTTACTAATTGTCAAATACTCTTTCCGATGTTAACCATTCTTGCATTCCTACAAGGGTTGGTTTTCTGATTTTATAATTGTATTAGCAGTTTGTTTATTATTTATCTTAAGTTGTTGGGTGTTTTGAAATTAGAGTGCGGGACATGTTACCTTAATTAGAAATGTTGTCTCCATACAATTCTTCTTCCATGATGGACTACTTAAGATTTGCTTCCAGCGTCAGGTTGAATGTTTGATTCTTGCCACAAACATTAAAAGTTTGAGTTCTTTGTGCATTGAATTGTACAATATGATGTTGAGTTTCGAAGTTAAATTGATTGTATTTATCCCTTCATGATCTTTGGAGCGGATTTATAAGGTCTAAAATATAATTTTTGACAAAATTTAAAAACTTGAGTGATTAAAAAAAACAAAAGTAGTAAACCAATCAAAAATCCAAAATTATAATAGGGACTAAAGAAATTAAAATGGGGAAAGCAAATGTTGAAATCAACATCATCATCAGTTCCCAATAAAGCCAAATGGTTCACTAACTACCCTTGTGCAAACTCGTGAACCATAAAACCCAACACGCAAATACATACATCTTAGGATTCCTTAATTGTTTAGACTATACTATAAATACAACATAATTCATACGTCATTTATTAAATAAGTTCATAATTATCACTTAAATTCAATTGAGCTGCTATCATTAAAAAGAAGAATCCTTTCATTATATAAAATAGAAAAAAGTAAAAAATATTAAAAGACTGTCTATTTTTCTCTCAGTACCATTGACCATTGTACAATCTTTTTGCTCTAAAACTGTCTTTCTCAGACCAAAATTTGGCCACTTTGCTCTTTTCTCAGGGGCTCCATACTGATCTAGAGATCAAGAATATGATCTCATGAAAGAAGGAGAATCTATTTTCAGTGATTCAGTAGGCCATCTCTGATTTTCATCTTCTTCCATGAGCCCAGCCATGTCTGCACAAATTTACTGTTACTAGTAGGATGAATTTTGTTTTATTATCTTAAAGTGTCATTATTGCTATTTGCTAGTTGTATTAAAGATTGTATTTTTTTTTTTAATAGAATGATTATCCCAAAAATAAAAGTGAGGTTTAATTTCCACCATTTCTGCAAGCTCCATCATTACTAGTTACAGGCTTACAGCTGCTATAACCCTCTACCTACTTTCGCCACTGACCCACTCTCCTTCCTGGGCATGCACACGGTACTGGGTTCTTTATTCTTGTTTATATTTGTTCTGCGACGGTTCTTTGTTGTTCGTAGGTTTCGAGGTGAATAAGGTGAGGTATGTCGGGGTTTCTGAACGATGAGCTCTCGAAGCGGACGACTGTGTTCGGGTTGAGGCTATGGGTGGTGGTGGGTGTCTGTGTCGTAGCCGCAATCGTGCTGGTTCTGTTCTTCATCTCCCTGTGGTTAAGCTCCAGGCGCAACGGGAGGAAGAAAATCATGGCGTTTCTTCCTCACAAGAAACCCAAAATCCCCAACGTGTCCAAGGAAATCCAGGAGATACGGGTCGACCCATCTCGGCCTCGGCCCGAAAGCCCGAAGCTTTCGCTGGTCGCCATGCAGGACCCGGTGCCGGAGCCCGAGGAGGAGAGCCGGAGCTCCGGTGGGGATCAGAGAATTCACATGGAAAATGGGAAGGGTCATATAATTTTGCATCCGGCCCGGCTTGGTCCGGGTAGCGGGTCAAGCCACGGGAGTGAGAAACCTCGGTCCGGTGATCAGGCCATAGGTGTTGTACCGGAGGTGTCACATTTGGGGTGGGGCCACTGGTACACTCTTAGAGAGCTCGAAATATCCACAAATGGGTTTTCCGACGAGAATGTCATCGGAGAAGGTGGCTATGGCATTGTCTACCATGGTGTTCTTGAGGATAATACAAAAGTTGCTGTCAAGAATTTGCTCAACAACAGGTATCCTTAAACATGTTTTTTTTTTTTAATGTTAAGAATCCCACATTGATCTAAGAGAGAATATATGGGTTTATAAGTTCACGACTTAGACTAAACTAGTTAATTGTTTGGATTCAATCTTTTAGTGTGGTTTGATCCATGTGCATTATGCAATCTTTTATGATTCTTAAACAGATTTTTGAGCTATTTTGTGGGGTTCTTTATGTGATAATCTTTTCAGAGGACAAGCTGAGAGGGAATTTAAGGTTGAGGTGGAAGCGATCGGGCGTGTGAGGCACAAGAATTTGGTCAGGTTGCTTGGTTACTGTGCAGAGGGAGCTCATAGGTACTTCGTAATCTAAACAGATGCTTGAGAGTAGGCATTCAAGTGTGTATTAGATTTGTAAATTGGATTGGGTTCGGGGTTATTGAATTTATGTGATTGGAGTTTCCAGGATGCTTGTGTACGAGTACGTGGACAATGGAAACTTAGAGCAGTGGCTGCACGGGGATGTAGGGCCGGAAAGCCCTCTGACATGGGAAATTCGAATGAATATTGTTCTCGGAATGGCGAAAGGGTATAATTCTAGCTCTTGAATGCCACTAGTTAAGCCTCTGTTCTTCGGTTGCAATATATTGTAACAACTGAAGCTTGGTTGTGTTTGTTTGCAGGTTGACCTATCTGCACGATGGACTTGAGCCCAAGGTTGTTCATCGTGACGTTAAATCGAGCAATATTTTACTCGATAGGCAGTGGAATCCAAAAGTATCCGACTTTGGCTTGGCCAAACTCTTGGGCTCTGACAGGAGTTACGTCACCACTCGTGTTATGGGAACATTTGGGTATTTTGACTATTTACTCTTTTTGGTAATAGCTTCCCTTTAGCTAGACGATGAAAAATGACTTGTTATGCAGCTATGTTGCTCCAGAATATGCTAGTACGGGCATGCTAAATGAGAGGAGTGATGTATATAGTTTCGGAATTCTTCTTATGGAGATAATTACCGGGAGGAACCCAGTGGATTACAGCCGCCCTCCCGGAGAGGTTTGTTGTCATTCATAAAATTGTGTTTTCGTAAAGATGCTTTATTAGGTTTCCTTGCAATTATGTTATTCCGTAAACCCTAATTCTTAGGTGAACCTAGTTGATTGGCTTAAAACTATGGTTTCGAACCGCAATGCTGAAGGAGTCGTGGATCCCAAGTTGCCCGAGAAACCTTCTTCAAGGGCATTGAAACGTATCCTTTTGGTCGCTTTGCGTTGTGTAGACCCAAATTCTCAGAAGAGGCCAAAGATGGGGCATGTACTACACATGCTCGAAGCCGACGAATTTCCTTTCCGAGATGTAAGTATGATTGTTCCGACTTTTTTTTTTTTTAATTTGTACATTGTTTTATGTGCACATGTATATTTCTCTTGAAGCATCAAGTTCATGAGCAGCTTCCATTGCTGTGACCTCGTTTGATACATACTGTATTAAAGCGGTCCGTCTTTTTCTTTCATGACAATTCATTGCATTTTCCTAACCCCAAACTTCCACAGTATCGAGCATAATTATTCTTTGTACCAATTGCCCAACATGTAATGAACAACTTTAATGAGTATAGGTGAGTTGTTACTTTTGTGGAAAATGGAGCACATGGACTTACAAAATTTTGTCTTCAGATGTAGGCTACTTTATGTAAAGATGTGACACTTTAATATCGCTCCCCTGGCGCATTCATCAAAATTAATTCGATTACCTTATACTCTTGAATAGTTGAATGGATATTGGATAGATGCTTCATTGCTTCCTTGTTTTAATGCACAAACCGGTTTTCATCTCAGGACCGAAGAGCTGGAAGGGATCACCCGTCGCGTTCTCCTCGTGAGGATGCAGAAGGGGCGATGGAGAAGCCCGTTACTGAATCATGAGTAGTGTCGTGCCCTCGTTTCTTCTGCCACTCGAGGTGTTATCGATCTGTAGGTTTGACGAGTGTAAATATCGTTCGATTTCACACTTCCACTTAGAGTTAGATCTATGGTCATAAGAGCTATGTGGTTTGTGGTTATAAGGCATGGAGTTTACTGCAATGGGTCCTATATATACTAATAACTTGAGGCACTGTAAGCCATGCAAAAAGACAGGGACAAGAGAAACATTGACAACTAGAGGTGGGCATGCCTGCCTTTGGGGTTCTTTTATTCATTTTGTTCCCTTCTCATTTCTTGGGTTTTCATCCTTGTTTTTTCCCCTAAATCTATCACTGTTCCATGATTTTGATTGCAATTCATCTGTGGGAAGAAATTGTTGTGTGTAATCAATAATGCAAGTGCATTGATGTCATGTGTTCCGTCCACCACACATGTGTACAAGATACAATGTATGTGGCCCTTAGGGTTGGAGTTCAGCCTTTGGAAGAAGGTACAATGTATGTGTGTCCCGAGAGGAGTGATTGAGTAGGTTATTACATTGTTCTTGTGTCAGAAGGTCACAAATTTTATTCTTGCTAACACTCTCTTGGTCGAATTAATCGCATACTTTTTCTAATGCGATTTATTCTTTCAGTATAATATGCGAGTTATTACATAACAATATGATTTTTCTAGTACACGCATTCAGATAGTGAGCAACATGTTTCTCTCTTCACACAAACAAAAATACAAGGGTTTGTGGTGCATTTCCCAAATAAAGGGAGTGCTTCAAAAGCCATTTAGGGGAGTTTGGTTCAGATTAAATTATATAACCAAGGGAGTATAAACATTTCTAGGGAATGAAACATTCCCTCCCCATAGAATATAACAATCGAAAGGAGACATGACAAATGGGCCGCATTATAAGGCAGCCCAATTGGGAAGCAGTGATATAAAATAATCAGTGTATTATGGGCTGTATTAATTTGAAGCAGGCTCTTTTTATGGGCCGAGCTTTGATATACACAGCCCATAACAGTTACAATTGCCCTCGTGAACCCGCCGCAGAGGCTTCTTTGTTGCGCTGACTATAGGGAATTGCAAGTTGGCAAAGCAAATATATGACTCATCCCCACACCATTCATGAAACGATTGGATTCCATTCCACCAATAAATAAATATTTTAGTAATACAAAGACACTCTTACCACATTCATACTTAATTGTAAAATTGATTTATATTCAAATCACATTTAATTTACATTTTATCACCTCTAATAACATAAGAAATTAAGACAATAAGATAAAAACACCAATCAAGTTAGTCAGACAATTAGTTTGATACACGCACGGGTTTAGTTCAATGGTTTAGTGGGCATTATTTAGAGTAAGAGACCAAAATTCGAACCTCGGTGACGACAATGTGAGAATTATATTCAAAGTGTGCAGATTCCTTGTGCACACCGACATTTGACCGTCTCTACTAACTCATTAAGTCACCGTAATTTACATACTCTGACGGGTCGATTTGGGATAAGACAATTAATTTGATTATTACAAAATTTTAAATTTGACTTTTCATAAAATCTACCTTATAAGATATGTTTCGTAGTAAAAAGAAAAAAGAAAAGAAATTGAGACAATAATATCTACTCAAAGCTGTCATTTCGGTGTAGGAATAGTGAATTTGGTGTACGCGCTGGTGCGTGCCATTTAGCCAACTGGAAAAAGCTGTCTGACAGACGAAAGTACCAAACCCATGAGCCTTCCCTCAATAATTACCACTTTATTCCTTTCTCTCATCGTCGGTGACTAATGGGATAACGCAAATCTTATAATCCCTGTCAAAACCGTCAACCAAACACCGATTTCCTTATTCCCTTTTTCTATTCCCCAAAAATCCACTTAAACCCCGTCCCCGTTATTCTGCTATTCCTCAGTAAGTCTGTAACGTAAACTCTCCCCTTCACAGTGGGAATTGGTTGTCTGGGGATAGGAAAATGCACGCGAAAACTGATTCCGAGGATACCAGCTTAGCCCCGTCGTCGCCGGACCACAACCGGAGACCGGTGTACTACGTGCAGAGCCCGTCGCGTGACTCTCACGATGGAGAGAAGACGACGATGTCCTTTCACTCTACTCCCGTGCTCAGTCCTACCGGCTCTCCTCCGCACTCCTCCGTCGGCCACCACTCCCGGGAGTCCTCCTCCACCCGCTTCTCCGGCTCGCTCAAGCCCGGATCCAGGAAGATCACGCCCAATGACGCCGGATCCGGCGCCGGCGGCCATAGCCGGAAGGGGCAGAAGCCGTGGAAGGAATGCGATGTGATTGAGGAGGAAGGGCTTCTCGAAGAGGATCGCTCTCGCAAAACCCTCCCGCGCCGCTGCTATGTCCTGTTTTTTGTTCTCGGCTTCTTCGTTCTCTTCTCCTTCTTCGCGCTCATTCTCTGGGGCGCCAGTAGACCCCAAAAACCTAAAATCTCCATGAAGGTCAGTTCAATTAAAATGTCGGATTTCCAAATCTCATACGTATATTGCATTGATTACCGTAATTCAGAGCCCTAATTCTTCTCTCATGTCGGATTTCGTTTACAGACTATCACCTTCGAGAGTCTCGCAGTTCAAGCTGGTTCAGACAATACAGGAGTTAGCACTGATATGATTTCCTTGAATTCCACTGTGAAATTCCTTTACCGCAACACTGCTACGTTTTTTGGCGTCCATGTTACTTCCTCCCCCGTTGATCTCTCATTTTCAGAAATCACAATTGGCTCCGGATCAGTAAGCCCTTCACCTTTCGTTCTTCTCAATTAACTTGGTTTCAGTTTAGAACTAGCAAAAATTTCTCTTCAACTTAACAAAATGGTAACCAAAAATAGGGGCAACATTAGCTCCTTTGATCAGTCTTCATAGTAAAAGTAGTGATGAATGAACTAATATACGAATCTTGTAGGAATGCACATGCATTGCCTGTGATCTAGTCAAGAATCAGTCTTCCTAGTAAAGGTTGCTATGAATGAACAAAACCATGAATCTTGTAGGAATGCGTTGCCTCTTGTTGAAGTATGAAACATAGTGAAATGCACTGGGATGTCTGTGATCTAGTCCAGGGCAATGTAGAAAATTATCTCCTTTGATCTGTCTTCCTAGTAAAAGTTGCGATGAATGAACAAAAACCTGCTTGTTGAAGTATGAAACATAGTGAAATGTACTAGGATGTTTGTGATCAAAGTGGTCTTAGTTTCAACTTACTAAATTGATTTTTTGAAATTTGGTTGAATTAGCTGAAGAAATTCTATCAATCAAGAAAGAGCCAGAGGACAGTAGTGGTATCAGTGGTAGGGAATAAGATTCCATTATATGGAAGCGGGGCCAGTTTGAGCCCGCCAACAGGAACTGCAGCCCAGCCTGTGTCATTGAAACTGAGCTTCGTGCTAAAATCAAGAGCGTACGTCCTGGGAAAACTGGTGAAGCCCAAGTTTATCAAGAAAATCGAGTGTTCCATCGTTCTTGATCCCAGAAAGCTCAACCACCCGATTTCACTCAAGAATGCCTGTGCATATGATTGATTGATGATGATGAGGATGAGGATGAGGAGTCGGTTATGGTGGGTGAAGTTTTGAGTTTCTCTTTCGTTTCTACTGTCATTGAAGAAAATGGTAATGGTGCATAGCTGGGGACAGAGCTGGACAGAGTTTAGGATGGTGCTGCCTTAGTGTTTTGGGAGACTATTATGGCTGCCCAAAGAGTGGGAAAATGTAAAATATAAGCTTGCTGGATTTGGTTGTGACTTGCTAGGACTAGAATCTTAAACAAGTTTTTGTACCAGCCACCTATTATGATGGAAGTAAGAATGTGACAATATTCATTTCCTTTGTTTATTCATGTTGTTATATATAAATAGCCTGTAATAATTTATTCCCTGTACCACCAATTTCGTATAGTATAATGTTATTTATTTATTTAGATTCTCAATCTTTATGTTTAGTCTCATTATTAGTTTAGACATTTACAAGGAGTTTATTACATTGGATGAAATTCTCACACTATGATTGTTAGTACTAGAGTAATAAATAAAACTTTTTGAGTCAAGTAATAGAGTAATAAATAAAACTTTTTGAGTCAAGTAAGTGAAGCGGGGTTTATAATTCCAATAGTTGTCAATCATGTTTTTTAAAAAATAAAATAAACTATTACAAAAGTTTTCTATAGTCCAAACTCCAAATTAAATCACTACAAAAAGTCAAAAATAGTACTCCGTAAATTTTTTTTTTTTTTTTACTTACCGCTGAAAATCCAAACTATCAGAAGTTTTCATAACTGTTAATGGAGAAGAAAAATGACAGAATTACTTTGGAAGGTAAAAATATGATCGGAAAATGTATCAGCGGCAACGTGTAATACAGGAACAACCTCGAGTGTAAGGCCGAACAGGGCCGGTTGCTTTATAACAATCGTGTGTATAGTACGATCTCCCTGAGCCAGGCGGGCATGGAATTCGGTTTGCCGATAGCGCTCCGTACGAGATGTAGTAATGTCCGTAATGCTCCGCATGTTGCCAATACAACGACCTCCGCTCAACTCCGACGTCGCCGCCGTTGAGATCTACATCCTCCTGGCCGTCTATCGAATCGGGAACCGAAAGCGACGTCGTCTTAGGCCACTCCAGAGCCTCTGCCATGAGCGGGAAGCTGTTGTGATCAGCCTGAGCACCGACATTTGAAGCGAGAGCTAAGATGACGGAGAAGAGAACGAGACGGAGAGCCATGGAAATGGTGGTTAGAAGGAAGAGCTAGCAGCCTATCAGTACACTCTGTAAGTTTGTAGATCGAGCAGTTAGGGCAGTTAATATAGAGAGAAGGGGGGATTTAGGGTTGGGGGGGGGGGGGGGGGGGTTACGTAGGGTTTGATAAGGGAGGGCGGGAGTCACGTGGTGAGTGCATTTAAGCGGCGAGCGGTGGTGGCGGTGGTTGTCGGAATCCTTGCCGGCGACTTCACCACCATCTTCCTTAATTAGCGCTGCCGTCTGCAATTCGTAATAACTCTTCGATCCGCGAGATTACTTACGGAGTTACGGATTAATTAGTTGATTTTAACAATTACAAATTAATTAGTTTTATGGATTTATTTTTCAAAAAAAAAAAAAAAGAAGGTTTATGGATTTAAGACATTGGGCCCAATTTCATTGGACCAAAGCCCAAATCATGTTCATATTATGGGAGCCCAGCCCAATTCTTCACGCGTAAAGTAGAAATTCAACAACTTTTAAGGACGAAGATGCAAATAGAGAGGGAATCTTCATTGTCGCCTACCACGGCCAGAATATTGATCAGCACGACCTTCGTTTTTCTCTCTCCTTCCAGTTCTCTTCTTTCTCTCTCTACACTCCACCATAGCTATGGCTTTTCCTCAGCAGAAACACTTCCAGCAACCGCCGCCTCAACCACACCAACAATCCAAAGCTTTCAGGTAAGCTATGAATACCTCCCCGAAAAGTATTTAAAATTCCATTTACATTACTCAAAAACCCTAGCTTTATTGTTTCTGACGATCATTTTTTCTCTCAGAGATTTATATAACGTGGAGGGTCAGATTTCACAGCCTGTGGCTTACTTCAACGGCCCTAATCTTCCCGATCAGTCTCAGCATCCTCCTTATATTCCTCCTTGTACGATTCCTCTGATCTTATTTAAGCTAATTACTCGATATTTGTTATGTGAATTTGATTTAATTCGTAAATTTGTGTTTTTTTTTTGATACCTTGGGTGTCAGTTCAAGTGGCCGGATTAGCTCCTGGTACTGTGGAGGAAAGTGGGCAGGATTTGCAGTGGAATTATGGGTTGGAGCCGAAGAAGAAGAGGCCAAAGGAGCAAGATTTTCTGGAGAACAATTCTCAGATATCTTCTCTGGACTTCTTGCAGCCACGATCAGTGTCTACTGGCCTCGGATTGTCCCTTGATAATGGGCGATTGGCGTCATCCGGGGACTCGTCCTTTCTGGGTCTTTCTGGGGATGACATTGAACGCGAGCTGCAGAGACAGGATGCCGAGATTGATAGGTACATCAAAGTTCAGGTCTGTCCCTATTCATCAAAAAGGGAGAAAATTTTGATTCTTTTTCCAATATTTGCTTCTTTATTTGTCCAATTGATGGTTTCGGCTGGATAATTTTTTTGAATGAAAAAGGATATGGATATGTTCGGATTAATTCCTTTTGTGTGTCTGTGTGTAGCATTTTGCCTATGGATGTTGCAAGTTAGTGTTTTTGGAAGGTTAAAATTTTGCTTGAATCTTCTCTTGTGTGATAAACTATTCCAAATTCCAACCATTTTGATTTATGGCTTGTAGTTGATCACATTTTCTGTTCCTATTGAGTTGTATGTTTGTTGCTTTTGTAATTTATAGAAACCTACATACCTCCACTTCCCCACCCTAACCTCCCTCCTCCCAAGGAAAATATAATTAGTAAATGAGTTTCAAAAGATGCCTATTTGTGGTACTACTATGCAAACTTGAGAGTGCCCTTTCAGATGAAGTTATCTTTACACTCAAACCTTGATAGTGCTTGGCCAATCAAATACATTAGTCCTTGGCTTGCTATTGTCTCATATCATGCATATAACTTAAAGAGTCTTGATTGTGCTTCTGTTGCTTATTTGGTTTGCAATATCTTGTGTTTTGGAAGGGTGACCGTTTGAGGCAAGCTATTTTAGAGAAGGTTCACGCGAATCAACTACATACTATATCCTATTTTGAAGAAAAGGTCATTCAAAAGCTACGTGAGAGAGAGGCTGAGGTTGAAAACATCAACAAGAAAAATGTCGACCTTGAGATGCAAATGGAACAATTAGCTCTGGAGGCCAATGCTTGGCAACAGCGAGCCAAATACAACGAGAGCCTGATTAACACACTCAAATTCAACTTACAACAGGTTTATGCTCAAAGCAAAGATAGTAAAGAAGGATGTGGTGACAGTGAGGTGGATGATACAGCATCTTGTTGTAATGGGCGTGCCATTGATTTTCACCTGCTTTGCAGGGATAGCAATGAAGTGAAGAAGTTGATGACTTGTAAGGTTTGTAGAGTCAACACAGTATGCATGCTACTGTTACCATGTAAGCATCTCTGTCTGTGTAAAGAATGTGAAAGTAAGCTTAGTACTTGCCCATTGTGTCAGTCCACAAAGTATATAGGTATAGAGGTTTATATGTAATTGGATAATGTGAATCTAATTTGACGCTAATGTATATGTATTCAGTGACATTATTCCCTTATATTTTCTATACTTTGTTGCTTACCTGTTCAGCGACACTATGTATTCTCTACAAATGTACTATCCAAAGTCACAGACTTTATTATTACCCAGTAAAAGTCTGGTCTTGTTTAGGAGTCTTACATGGACAGAATAGTGGGTGTTTATATCGTGTGTATATATTTGCATCCATTTTTTTTATTTTTTTTTAGCCTTTTGTTTTTTACTTGAATTGTGTTCAATTAGTTTGCTTATCCCCACCTTCTTCTTTGTTGTTCCCTTGGTGCTCAAATAATAAACTACCTTAGAGACAATCTACAGATCAAACAATCTTTAGATATCTTAGGCTGTAGTTATCTTCAAGCTGCTTATCTTGGAGCCTGCCTTCAGAATTATATTTGGCCCACTACACCTCCATATTATAGTTCACAGGGAAAGAGGTTCCCTTACCTGAAAACTTCAAATGGACCTAACAGAAAATTAACATTTTTGCCACCAAAACCAAGACAAGAAATCAGCAGTCTTCCATGAACTTGGCCTGTTTCAGGGTGTGAACAGGCTTAGCAGTCCTTCAGCGGGTTGGTCTATTCAATACTTGCTATCCCAGCTGAGTATTCTCTATCATCTTTTGTCCCCTATGAGGTCAGTAATAATTGGAATTCACAGCTATAGATTAAAGTACTTTGGTGTTGATTCAGTTGAGTAACTGCCAAGACCTACTTGATTGCATTTTAGTCTGTACATTTGGTTTCGAAGAGCAGAATTAGACTGATATGATGGTGTTATGCTTGTTCAGTCTGGACATTCAGGCCTGAGGGAGACCATAATGCAGATGCCATGCGTGTCAGGGAGAGTTATGGAGCTAACTATTATATAGAAATGTGCATAACCTGAACTATTTTTATTGCATGTTTGCTTGAAATGTTTTGCATTATAAATGATCTGTGAATCAGAAAGTGCGAAGATATGTATATGATAATATGAAGCTTATGGTATTCTTCTGTTGGTGTTGTTTCAGTCAGAGCTGCTGGGTCTTTCACTATTTCAGTGATAGATTCCTAGGATCCTAGACTGATATATGACCATGCTTTAACAGAATCTCTTCCTTCTTGACTTGATAGAATTGTGTGATTGTTTTTGAATGTGTACATACTATCGAGTATCGAGATATGATAGAAATTTATTTAGTTAGTAGTTTTGACCTTTGATATCCATTAGTAAAAACAGATAGTAATGCATCATATCTTATTACTTGGCACTTGCATTGATCTAATAAATTGTTGTGTGGTGAAATATAATGGGCTTAAGGTGGAAAATGGGAGTGTTCCAACTTCCAATTCATGCTACCTTAAGGTGTCACTGTACTGCTACAATTACAGAATTACCCTTGATGAATTTGAGCTTACACTCAGATTTTTGAAAGGCTCCTGAAGTAACACTTGGTGGAGCCTATGGGACTGCTGTTTTATGCTTCTGGGCAGCAAAATTCTCTTTTTTAGATTCTCATCTTGCTTTTCTTGTTGGGGTATTGTCAAGGATGGATGTATTGTGGTACCAGGGAATGGAGATAGTAAAGCAATAGGTGAGCAAAATCACCTCTTTTTATTCATTCACCTCATCAGGGTGGAATTGTGTCAGGGGAGAGCTTTTCAAAGCGAATAGTCAGGAAATCATTTGCTGCTGGGGATGCGATGCTATGCTATGCTTTGCTTTTCCAATCTAACTGCAGAAAAGGGTCATGGATTTCGATCTCCATCACCAAAAGACACCAGAGTTCTTGAAAATATGCAGTTTGGTGGTGTCAAGGAAAAGGGGTGATTGGTCTTATCTTCATCATAATTTACATCTCTTAGTGCTGCTTTTAATCTTATGAACTTTGCCTTTTTCTTTCTTTTCTGAGAATGAGTTTTACGGGCATGGGTTAAAGAAGATTCACTACTTCTGCCACAACTTGTTTTTGTTTTTGTTTTTTTTTAAAGATTTATTTTTATGGGAAATGAAAAATGAGAATAGTTAGTGAAAATGGAAGAAATTTTTAGTTTCAATCATGATACAAAGGCTCCTTATATTCCCCATAAAGCTGTTTTTTTGGTTGTTGCTTTTTCTATGTTCTCTTGGTTTTTGCTATAGTGGGGTCTGTTGTGGCCTTCTAACTTCCACTTTGGTATATCTAAAATCTCTTTGGCCTGTGAGAGAGAGAAAGAGAGAGATGGGATTTTGTTCTGGAACCCAAATATGCATTTTATACTCTGATCTGCATGCCAAAGCTGCTTGCTTTTGTAAATCCATCAATTTGTAGGTCTGCCAAAGTGTAAACTGTCTGTGTATATATCTATGGTATTGGGACTCATAATCCAAAAGGCTGATTCAATACCATTTTGACTTCTTTAATATTATACCAAAAAAACTTTTATAACTCCCTATTACTTTTGGATTAAACTTGCCTATGAATTGCTAAATTCTCTTGCCACACAGTCCCACACTTTGACTCGCCAGGATAGTAGATAGGTAAATTATGGTAACTCTGCGGTCCATTAGATGAGAGGATCAGTGCAGGTGCTCACAAGGAGCCAAACCTAACTCTCTTACTGTACCTGCTAGAGTTCAGTCCTATGTTCTTGTCCATTATCTACTACTCAGGAACCAACTGAATTGCTCGTGCAAGCACTTTTGGCTGTTTTGGGTTAAACTCTGAACACATCTCCAGAGAATTCAAAGAAAAATTCTCTAAATTTTAGAACCCTGGCCTGCATATAACAAGGTGTCATTGGGGGGGGGGGGGGGGGGGGGCGGGGGAGGGTAGTTGATGGAGAAAGAACAACTGGTTGAGTTGCATCCTGGAATGAGTGTGTAGATTAGTTTGTCTTTGAAAGCAATTCATCAACCAGTGTTTCATGGTACATAAATAAACTTATTTGACCCATATCGATCTGTCATATGTTATCTTATAGAGCTTCCAGTCTTCCATGGTCCACTCAATCTGCAAACACAATACTATATATGTATATATGTTTGCATACTCAACCCATATTTGTGTACAGCCATGATGCTTGTACTAGGTGATGATAATTTTCCCTAGTACTATACATGTATGCATGAAAATTCTTACAGAAGAGTACTTTCTTACTTACTATAACTTTTTGTGTAGTGGTAAATGCTTGATCTAACAATTAGTATTAAAGCCGGTTATGATTTCAAATTAATTATAATTTTTGAAGTATTGATAAAAATCAGGATTTAATAATGGAATCAAGAGGATTCACCCAACCCCAAATTGGGATAATAATGAAGTGATGATATACCTTATAAACTTCTCATCATCAACTGTCCATTAAAATTGATGGTGTTAAAGAAAGAGGTTAATTATAGGTAGCTATATATCTTAGCTTATTAGGTATATGATGAGATATTCATTGCCCCAATCAAATTTACAACTCATATATAGTACTGTGTCCATATGCAGTAATTATTGGGCGTGTCATAAAATTTCACTTTTAAGCAAATATATATGTATGGTTTTGCAGGTAGATGCAGATGTGTTTTGGGCGGTGGTTTGATGTGTATGCAAGAAATGATGGCCTGGCCATGGAGGGACCCATTCAAAATTTTAATGGACTTTTCTTGATTTTATCATCACATTTTTATCCTTAGATTGAGGAGTTTGTGGACAACTTCCGTTCACTACTTTCTTTTTGGTATGTAAATCAAAGATTTTATTGTGTAAATTAGTACTGTATTGTTCCTAAAAGGTTGAGTTTCCAATCTCAAGAATCTCACACTCCAGTATGATAGAACATCTGAGAAAATATAAATCATGGTAATTCAGTTAAACAAGAACTCACGCTCCAGCCCGATAGAGCTTCTGGAAGGATGTAAATCATGGTAACTCAGTTAAACAAAGAGACTAGACCTTTGCTTACTGTGCACAAGGAGTCTCATTACTTTAAGAGGTTACTCCCACACTGCTGCTTGTGAGACTCGATTTCATGTAATTGTTTCTAAACTTCACCCATTTGACCAACTGAGTTGTATATGTAGTATGCAGTATTGATAATATTGAGTATGATCATGTATAGTATGAAGTATATCGTAATAGTATTAAGTATTATACTATTATTGATACTAATACTAATAGTATCCATAATAACAAAGTATAAAAAATAATACCAATACTAGTATGCTTAATTTAGTTAATTATGTAGCTTTAATTTACAATCCCTTATAGACACACAAAATAACTTAAATCGATTGAAGGAAAGAATTGTTTCTAATAATAATAAGTTTGCCATAAGCTCCAATCTTGTAACACTAATAAAGTGTTTAATAAAACATAATCTTTAATTTCCTATGTGGGGCCATTACAAAGAAACAACAACTTTTACGGAGTATATGTTTTACCGTTCATCAGCCACAGTATAAAAAGAAGAGAACAGAAGAAGAAGAAAAAGAAGGTGATGTCCATGTGATTCAACAGCCTTTGTGTTCCCCTCTTCAATTTTAAGTTTTATATAACAAAATATTATTTTTCCCTCAAATGAGTTGTCGAGTGATTAAAACATAATTACCATATCAAAATATTTTGAGATTTTTGTCAATATCGATCATTTCAATTAAATTTACTGTACATAATTTTTCTAGTGCGATTTATCTTATTGATATATTTTGCTATTTTTGTCAACACCGACCCTCTCTTATGTCTTTGTTTGTCATTTAATCTTGTCTTGGACTCTTGGTCATATGGTGTTCGTACTAATCTTACCCAAATTTGTGGGGACCGGATCTCCCATCAAACGGGTCTAATCATCTTTTGGTGCAAAATAATATGAGCAATTTAAATTATTTCTTATATGGTCAATCTCACTATGATTGATTATTTAGCCTTTTAGCCATCCATATACGTAGAAGGTAATAAGTAGAGTTAATATCAATTTCTAGGTAATAAAAAGAAATATATCTACTATTTGATGTATGTATTGAAAATACTTTGTTGGACGAGAATCATATTTTATTCATACAGAAACCTATTTTGAGGTGATATTAATATCACTTTTAATTTAATTATAATGGTAATTTCATTCTTAATCATCAACTATTAATAATTTGACTGCTTTATCTTCTTAAAATTCACCAAAAAAAAAAATGA